CCACCCTTGCTGGTGACTTGGTGGCCCTGTTTCACCGGCCCGGTCTAGCAGGGTTGAACCGCAGGACGGAATGCCGCGGGAGGGAGAGAAAGTCTGCTTTGGTGCCCAGGCAATGTGCACAGAACATGTCATCCTAGAAAAATGAAACTGATTGTTGTTGGGGAGCAGCTTTCCTGAAGTCTCTCCTGTCTCTCCACGCCTTGTAAGCAGGGACGCTGCCTGGGTTAGAGACTACCTTTCCACGAACAGTTGTGTAGCAAGGGGCCTCGGGAGGCAGACATCGCCTCCCTCCAGGGCCAAGGGCGCGTAGGCTTCCTGTGCACTCGGCTCGGGGGTCCGCTGCTGCAGTGCAGTCGGCTGCATGTGCGGGCGGCAGCTGGCCCTCCGAGGAAATTCGAGGTGGGCGCACAGACGAGGGCACGTAGCAAGGTTCAGTTAGTATTTCTACTCATTGCCATTTGCCTTCCTTTCCCACAAGGCTCTAGCTTCTTAAAGGAAGTCAGCCTGTTTTATCTGTGCCTTTCCCAGACCAGGTGTTAATAAAGGTTTGCTGAATGAGCGGCCAAGTGAGTGCAAGGGTAAGTGGCGGGGTGAAGAGGACAGCCACCTGTCATCCGGGTCGCCGCCCTCGACCCTGCTTCTCCCGTTCCCGTGACTTTCCCAGCTCCTGACTCCGTAGCCGGTCTTGCTCCTACTGACCTTGCCAGCTACCTGCCTGACTGCAGGCACCTGCTGGAGACAGCGAGCTAGGAATACTCTATCTTTGGGCTGTGGCCTTGGACGCTGGGGGATCCTGGGTCCTCGCCCAGGTCTGCGCCCTCGCATACCAGCCCTGCCTGCCTTCCCAGCTTTGCATTCTTCTCAGCTCCATTCCCACCTCCACGACCTCGCGGTGACCTGTAGTTCTAATGTGCACAAGGTCCAGGCCACCAAACCGCACATTGCCAGTCACCACAGAACCAGCAAAAGAGATGTTTGTTTCTCTTGTTCGTTCCTGTTAGGCTGAAAGGGGATACATATAGCTGGCGCTCTGTAAATATTTACTCAATGAGTGAATGGGCCTCCCTTGAAAGTCAGCCAGTTGCCTCCTTGTATTGTTTGTCAGCCTCCTGAACAGGGGTGACAGCCAGCCGCCCCCCTGGCGTCAGAACCCCTGCGCCTGTGCACAGCCTGGCCACACACTGCACACCGTGTGTATAAGACAAGTGCAAAAGTGAATCTGCTCCACATGCGCTTTTGAACTACAAACCACTACTCACTGCCTCTGCAGCAACGCGGAGCGGTGAGCCAGTTGGCACCTCGCCAAGGGAAGCTGGCAGTGACTCGCCACTTAATGTAGAGGCTTTGGGCCTGCTTTTCACACAGCCAAGAGAAAGGGACATTCACAGAGCACACTGAAGTGCTAAATCCGTGACTCAGGGGCCCCCAATTGTTCAGACTGGGAACATTTTATTCTATATTGCGTCAGTTTCACCTCGCCTCCGTTCGCCTGAGGACAACTAGTCTCTTTTATTTTTAAACAATAGTATTTAACTGGATATTTTGCACCATCGCCCGCCTAACAGTCCAATGATGGGTTGGTTGGTTTGTTTATATCTCCCTTCCCTCCAAAAAAGGTCTGTGTCCATCTACAAGAATTTATACAATAAGACAGACAAAAAGGCTCTAGAAATGTACAGGCAGTATTTGCGGAAGTAAAACAAAACCAGGATTGGTTATAAATCACAAAACTGACTCCATATTTGCCCAAAGGATGTTGCAATTCAAGAATGCTCAGAGACGGTGCTAGGCCCACCTGGACCACTGTCTTTACAGAAAGCCATCCAGGGCATTTCAATGCGGGTTAGCACTTCCTAGGGAGCAGATTCCGTTTTCTTAAGTAACCAAAGGCCTGGTTAAGACAACCTAAAACACATAAAATTATTTTGATAAAACACAGAACCTTCGCCTTCCAGGCAGACGACTTTTCACCGTATCAGGAGCAGACCAATCGCGCAAGAAAACGTTGTCTTTTTAGCAGAGAAAGAGAGAGTCAAACACTAATTTTGCACCAGCTTGCTTTTGCTAGTTAGATTCACTTAATTAAATTCATTCCTACCTTATTCAGCTTGATCACATAAAATTTCCGTTCTCGGGATTTATTTTCGTAAACTTTTTACAATGTTCTTTGTCTCTTTTAGTTTGTCTCTTGTTCTCTTACCCACTCAGAAATAACCAGGACAAATTACTTTCATTTCCAGCTCGGGCTGCAGGTCAGTGGAGTGGATCTAGCCTGTCAGGGAACATTTCCTGGCAGGAGCAGGCGCCAGCAGCTTTGCCCCGCCATGGCCTCCCAGGCCAGGGGAGGGTGCAAAGGCTGTCTCCCCGCTGCTGCTTCATATGCACTCTGTGCCTTTGTACCCCGCTCCCGCCCCTGCCAATTGAGTGGACATGTGAGGTAGGCAGCTGACTTGCAATCCTACAGACTGGGTTCAGGTTGTATTGGCTGTATCGCTTTGTAGTATGTGACTCTGGCCGCGGCCGCCTCCACTACAAAATGGGGATAAAGAAACAATCCCTGCTTGCTTTAGGCTCAGGCATGGAAAAGGCTCTGAAAACTCCAAAGCCCTATGTAAATAAATGCACAGCATTATTATGACTCATTCGTACCCTGTATGCAAGGTGGCTGAGGCGCCAGGAAAGGTCACTCACTCTGGCCTTTGTTTTTCTGGGACACGCTCGAGAAGCAGGGAGCCATGTGGCTTAGGAGGTGGACACTGAACTGGGGAACCTGTGCGCAGTATGTCTGCATAGCTGAACACCCTGGAACATGACTGACCCCAGGCATCCTGAGACCTGAGGCCACCCTTGGGGATGGGGCAGCCTGGAAGGCGCACAGGATGCTGAGGGGTCCGGAGCCCAGGTGCCAGGCCAAGGTGCCAGGCTGCCCGCGACCCCTGGATGGGAACCTGGCTTCCCTGCAGACTCCCCACACAGGGCATTTCTTCAGTTGCTCTGAAATAAGTCTAAGGAGAAGCTGGCACTGAGAGGAAGAATTGTTTGAAGCTGGGAGATAAAACTCCAGGCTACACCTGCTTTATTAACTTGAGGTCTGGTTTGCCCTGACCCCCAGGTATAATCAGCCTATTAATATATTTGCTGAATGCCTACATAGAGTCAATACACAACTGCGCAATGAAAGCACTAACAATCTGATTGGCAAGATTAAATACAGGACGGATGCATGATTGGTCACTAGACTGATTGATTAATGGTAGGACTAGAGATGATAAGCATGAGCACTTAATGATAGATGGAGGATTGGATAGACAAGATGGAGGATTGGATAGAAGATACAGCATCAGGATAAAAAAGAACAATTTATTGAGCACCTACAATGTACCTGGTAAGTTATGCCAGGTAGTTTCAGCTATGCCATCATACCTGTCATTCCTGAATTCTTGCATTAACACTGTGAGAAATCATCATCCCTGTTTGTCAGATAAGGAAACTGAGGTCCAGAGAAGTTAAGCAACTTGCCCAAAGCCCCCCAGCTGGCCGGCCTGTGTTCTTTCATCTAAGTCTTGGCGTTCCTGAGCCACAAGGAAACCACACACACTGCTACCTCCCAGCTCTGAGCTGTGTTTCTTTCTTTTAAGCCTTTTTTTAATATGGCAACATCCTGGAAATCCTGAGAGAACCTCCTGACCACTTCCTGTTCACTGAAAACCTGAAGCCGCTCCTCAGCTGGTTCTGCTCCACCACCTTCCAGGCGCCCAGGTGAAGGTGAGGCCTCTCAGGAGAAATCAAAGGGCTGTTTCTTCAGAGCCCACTCCCCAAAAGCAGATGGAACTGTGAGCGAGGCGGCCTGGTTCCAGGGGCACCGGGCCCAGGGAAGAAAGCGTGGAGCCGAAGGCGCCCCTGGGGTATTCCTCACTGGGGCCAGCCCGGCCTCCGACCCCTGCCCCCTAACTCCTACCTCCTTTTCTGCAGCGCCACCCGCTCCCTCCACTCCTCTCCCACCTGGTCTTTCCTCTTTGCCCTCCAAGACCATTGGGGGAGGGGGTTCTGGCAGGAGCTGCCAGGAGGGTGGGAGGCGGCTGGGGTGCACCTCGCCACAACCTCGCTCTCTCCCCGGCCTCTCCTCTGGATCACTGCCGCCCCCCCCGCCCCCCGCCAGCTCCCTGCTCTGCTGGGTGCAAAAGCCAAGCCTCCAGGGGGTTCCCATGCCTTCCCATGGGGCTGGAGGCAGGAGACAGTTTTGAGTTTCGGGGCCACGGGCTGTAGTGACGTGAGGTCTAGCGCTTGGAAGCGGGGCTGTTGGGAGGTGGGGCGGGGCGTGGAGAATGGGTGCTCCTCGAGGGACTTCTGGGGAATTCAAGACTCCTCTGTGGGAGAGTGGGGTGGGGAAGGAGGAGAGATCTAGAAGCCCAGCCAAATTTCTCCGCAAGTCTCTCCCTGCTTGTCCTGGCTTGGCCGCTTGCCCTCCACCCTCCATTCCCTTGGCCCCTGTGGTTCTTTTGAAACTTCCCAGCCTGCAAAGCGTGTGTTCCTGGGATCTGCGAGTCTCGTCTTAGATAGACTAGGCTTCCTCTCCAAAATGCTCTTAAAATGCACAACCAGGCATCAGAATTTTAGAAGGTCTGGCTTGCCCAAAGGTCACACACACTGCTAACGCCCCTTCCATTGTATCAGGATAGAGGAGTGTCCTCCAAATTCAGAGCCCCCCCCGCGACTCAGCTGCCCGCCATGGCGGGTGGGGTCGCGCGCTCTATTAGACTATTATTAGACTTTCAGGGATCTTTGATCTCGAGTCTTTTCAGTGGCCTGGGGACTGAGCCGAGACACAGCTCAGAATCAAACCCCTAGCAGCCCGCAGTCAGAACAGGAGCAGGGCCGTTCCCGGACACCCCGGGCTCCACCCAGGGGCGGGGCTGCGGGATGCCCCGCCCACCTGTCTGCCTAGCCGCCCCGCCGCTCGGAGAGGAGCCCTCCACCCCAGAGTGGCTGTGCGCTGGCATCCAAGAGGTCAGGGCTGAGGATGGGGAGCATCTCAGGGACCCAGAAGACCGCGCCCGGCCTGAAAACCCGGCCTGAAGGCCCGAAGGACCTGCCCTAACACAGCTTCGGCTGCCACCTGGTAAGGGACCTGCTGGGCCCCCTGGTGCTTGGAGGGAGGAGAGGGGAGGAGGCCCGGACACTAGGAGCCCTGCTGGGGCAGAGGGGAGGGGCAGGGCCTGGAATCTGCCGAGCTCCTGCGTGGTCTCAGGCTCCCCATTGTCTGAAGAACTGCTCACAACTCTCCCATTTTACAGTGGAGAAAACTAAACCTCAAGGAGAAGTTGTACACTCTCAAAGCAAGTGGCAGAGCCCAGGTTCAAGCTCCTTCTGTCTGACACTTGGGCTGCAGGGGTCCCCTTCTGCTCTGCCGACGGGGCACCCACCACACAGCTTGACCCTCTGTGACTTCCTTGAGGAGGACCCACGGCAATGGTGCCTTTGCTCTTCTCAGCCCAGTTCGGGCTTCACTCTTGCTTCCCACCAGCGGTTCGCTCTGCGCTGCAGCAGCGGATGGCGAGGGGCGGATGGTGCCTGCGTAGAGGGAAGCTTGGGGTTCCCAGTGTCTGTGTGATGGGGATTCTGGGGACGCGCCTGGCAGCCCACCCGTGTGAGCATTACCTCTGCTTCTCAGAGCCAGTCCAGACAAAGGGGCCATGGGCCACCGAGGTGACTCGACCCTGTCCTTTCTGAGGGGATGCTAAACCTAGCACCCTCAGAATGACCCTCCAGCCAGCTCGGCCTCTGGGTGGCAGCCTGCGGGTGTCCTAGAAAGAGCCTGGGAGCTCTGGGTCCTCAGAGTCACAGTGGGATCACTGAAGTCCCCATGGAAAACACACACGGGGGAAGAGAATGAAAACTAAACTGTACTGAGTCCTTTCTCCCCATTTGTGCGGCGGGGAAGCCGAGGCGCTGAGCAGTTCATTGACTCAGGTGTGTCGGAACCCAGAGCTCCGCCCTGGCGGTGCCTCCTTCAGAGGAGGAGCTTGGTACGCCTTGGCGGGGGAAGGGACGGAGGAGGCCATGGGAGTCACTCCACGGACTCGCATAAACTTGAGGCCAGGGCAGGGGCAGAGACAGGGATTGGGGAAGTGGACTAAAGGGAGAAGGCCGGAGTCTGATCGTTGGTGGGGTGACAATGTTTTGTCTATGGCTGGTATTTCAGGGGAGTGAGAAGGGCAGGCCTGGGGTGGAGAAACGTGGCTGAGTGCAGAACTGCCGGAGCTTACATGCATGGTTTTGCAGCAGTAAGAAATTTGAACATAACTCCAAATTCATAAAGAGGACCTGCGCTACGTAGGTGTTGGCGCATTGATCTTACAGACTGAGCTTTGCAGCCCTTGCAATGAGAGCCGGGCCTGCAGGAACCGGCATGGGACCGGGTCACTGACGTTGGGGAAAAGGGAGCGGCCTGGTCCGTGGTGGGAAGTGCCGGGTCCTCTTGCCCGGACCGGCTCCGCCCCTCACCTCCTGCCCAAACTGACTGTTACCCTCTCTGAGCCTCGGCCTCTCCATTTGAAAATGAAGGGAATGGTAGTAATACTTCAGAGTTGCTGTGGGGATTTGAGGCATTCTTAGCCCAGTGCACACATGCATTCAAGTAGTTTTTAAATGTTTGCTGTTGTTATTAAGCCAAAAAGTGAATAGCAGAAATGCATGCTATCACCCCACTTTTACTTTTTAGTGTTTTCTTCATAGGTGTGTATAAATATGCACGTGTAGGCATAGCTAAACAGCTGTTAACAGTGGTTCTCTCTCAGAGGCAGAAGACTCAGAGAGAAGAAGGGAGGGAAGGACTCACATTTTTTTCATAGACTTAAACTTTTAGAGGAGTTTTAGTCTCTTGTTCCACAGCAGTATGGAGCCCCACACAAGCCAAACTTCCTCACTATCACTTGTTACATCTTTTGACTCATGGAGACTTACACGCTTTTTTTAAAGATTTTATTTATTTTTTAAAGAGATAAGGGGAAAGGAGGGAGAAAGAGAGGGAGGGAAACATTGATGTGTGAGAGAAAGATTGATCAGTTGCCTCTCATACGCCCCCAGCTGGGAACGTGGCCTGTAGCCCAGGCCCGTGCCTTGACCAGGAATCAGACAAGTGATCTTTTGGTTCATGTGCTGGCGCTCAATCCACCGAGCCACATCCGCCAGGGCTGGAGACTTACACTTCTAACTTTATACACTTCTATCTGGCTTTTGTTTCTTCAATGAGCATGTGTTTTTTGTAAGTAAAAAAAAATTAGTTAATTAATGGCTGGGTCATACCCCAGGGCCCCAGAATGGCTACATTCTAGGAAGTGGCCTGGTTCACAGAGAGAAACCACGGGGGAGGGGTGACCCACGCTCGGCCTGCCTGGGAGCGGCCTGAACCCCGCCTAACCACCCCTGCTCTGCTGTCACCAGCATGGCCATGGCCCGTCGCAGGCTTGCCTGCCTGGCTGCCTGCTGCGCTCTCAGAGGGACACGCGGCAGCCGCTGCCAGAGCTGGGGGGCCGTGCCCACCCGACCGTCCTTGCCATTCACCGTGCTCGATGCTCGCCTGCAGCAGCTGAACGGCTTCAGAGCATCCCAGGAGCAGGTCTGGGAGGCTGGGGAAGCAGCCAGTGTCCTTGGACCACAAAAGAGGCAGCCAGCCCGGGAGCCAAAGTTTCCTCCGACTTTCACTAGTACAGTGGTCTTCCCATGAGCCTCTGCTTCCTTGGGCAATACAGGCAAATATTCAGAGTCTGGGTCCAAACCGCCTGGTGTGATCGCCGTTAGTGTATAGTTGCGGGTGTCTTTCCTGGCAAAGTCAGGACAAGGACAGGGTAAGGTCGCTCTTGGAGCTCAGGACAGGATGGACCCGCTGTGTTTCTGGGGCTGGTGAGCCACCATCCAGTCTTTATTTGGGCTGGATGTAAAATGATCCTCCAAAACGAAGTCATTCTGAGAAGGCAGGCGGGGAAAGAGGCTGCTCCCCATGCAGGGGGAGAAAACGCTGCACCGGACAGTCCGCAGGCTGGAGGAGCTGGGCTGAGAAGAGGGGAGCCCCTCGGCCGTCCGCCTCCCGCCTGCCCACATGTTTCCCCAGGCGATTCCTCTCCACTCCTCTCTGCGCACACGGCTCCTCAACATGAGACACAGTCTGCACTTGACCTTCATGTGTCTGAGCCTCTTCACTGGAAGGTGAGCCTTGCTACCCCACAGTGGCCTTGGTCTGAACCGCTTTGTGTGTGCGCACACGTGGTGGGAGAGGTGGCAGCCTCCCTGCTTCCCAATGTGCCGCCTCCCTGGTGCACCAGGACAACGCAGCGTTCTGCCGTTTATTCCCTCTGGGGAACTCAAGCTTTCAGAACGGTCATAAGGGGACAAGCCCCTTGTAATTTGAGGGAAGACACTCCGAGGGGTTCCAGCTTGACACAACCTGGTAGGTGGGTGATAAAATGGAGTGGGATCGGGACCTCTCCATCCGGCAGCTGGAACGTAGAGCTCTCTCTTTGGGAAAGTCACCGCTGGTCCATGGGCATGACCACATGCATGCAGACATAGCTCTTGTTTGTGCGCACATGCTACTCACACATAAACAAGCAGGTGCACGAAAGCTGTTTCTTTTCCAGGCTGTGCGTCCGAGGGAGTCGGTTCAACGTGGAGGTCAGCAGAAGTGACAAGCTCTCCCTGCCTGGCTTTGAGAACCTCACTGTGGGCTATAACAAATTTCTCAGGCCCAATTTTGGCGGTAGGTCATCTTCTTTCGTCCAGGACAGCAATTCACAGGCCAGGAGTGGAGGAGGGCTTCGGGGGCGGGGGGGCGTTGGCTGACCGCACTTGCTGGCCTGCAGCCTGTTAAGGACTGGCAGTGATGGGCAAGCGTAGCCGCCAAGGATGGCTCACGCTACCTTGGAGAAAGTGCCTTGTCTCCCCGCCTGCAGGATAAAGAAATACTGCTCCCCCTAGAGGCGTCCCAGAGCCGCCCAACAACCGCACACACTGTGTCCCTTCTGTCCCCACTTTCAGCGTCATTATCCACAAGTCTGGCCAGGTCTCCCCAGGCCCGTCCCACCTGGCCTGCCTGCCCCCTCGGGGCTAACCTCCGCTCCGCTGCCTGGATCACTTGCCGGGCCCTTTGCCTGCTCCGAATACCTACCTGCACCCCAGCATTGTCAGCCGAAGCCCCAAGGCCTTTCCGTGGCCCGCCAGACCCCTCCCAGCCCATCCTTGTCCATCCACCAGTCCTAGCACCCCCAAGTCCATCGCCTCTGCCCTCCACGCAAGCGTGCCCTGCATGCTCCCTGGCTGTGCTGAAGTCACTGATCTGCCAAGAAAGGCTGCTTCCAACTTGGCTCCCGGGTGAAATACCGATTTTCTTTCATGTCTCAGAGCAAAGGCTCCCTCCTCTGAGAAGCCTTCCCAGATTCCTCCAGGCCCCTCCCCTTCCTTCACTCTTCATTTTGAACAGACCTCCAAATCCCAGCGGTTGCCTGGTGACACTGTCATGGTCACCAGTTTGATGTTTGTCTCAGCTGAAGGCCACAGCCGTGCTTGACGTACAGGAAGTTATTCATATTTGTTGAGAGAATGAGGCCAGGAGGGAGGGCAGGAGACCAACCACACACCTCCGCGCAGGTCTCAGGCCCTGCTTATAAAACACGAGATGGAATGAAGGTGGTCTCTAATGTCCCATCACGCAGAGCAGAAAGTAGTAGAAAGAGCCTTGAACTTGAACAAAGCTGAGTTTGGTCCCTGGCTCCCCTGCTGGGTGAACACCTTAGCTTCTTGAGCCTCTGTTTTCCTTTCTGGGAAACAGGGACGTGTCCCCCACCTCTCAGGGAGGACCGAATGCGGTGAAGCGTGTCCCTGCAGAGCACGGTCCCCGCCACGTCACCAGGGTGCAGTTTGTTTTAATCCCCACTCCTTCCTGCTCCTCCCAGCAGGTGATAAGATTTCTTGGTCCGGTCTAGGATTATGGGCTAGTCCAGGCCCCCTGAGAAGCAGACTGAGTGGGGACTGTCTGTACGGGACACTCGTCTGGGCAATGCCTATGAAAGACTCTGGGGCGGGAAAGAGGGAAGCCGGGGAGGGTTGTCACGCTGTCACGCAGGGCTGACCCCGGGGGCCCTTGGGTAAGGTGCTCACTCTGAGCCTGCAGTGGACCCAAGGGGACGCGAGGCCCAGATTCCCGCAGGGTGAAAGTGGGGCAAGGGGTCCTCAGTCCAAAAGCACAACCCTAACCCCTTTTTTGTGCCTTTTGGCACTTTGGCTCCTAAAGGAACCTACACATACGAGGCAGCCTGGGGGCCCACGCAGGGGTCATTGTTCTACGTAATGTCTGTCCACCCAGATTCTAGAACCCCAAGGTCCTTAAGAGACAAGACCTCCCTGGGACATTCCCGGGACTGAGCGGAACAGAGCCAGGTTTGCAACAGGCCCCGGCTTTGACCCCTCTCCTAGGGGAAAGCTGCCCTCTGGTGGCAGGGCGCGGTTTCACAAGCCAGAGAGGGAGCCCGGCCCCGCGGGACTGCCAGCTGAGGCGAGGCCTGGGCCAGCCCACCTGGAAACGCACTGAGAAAACACAGCGGGGCTGGAGCTCTGTGTGCTTTTCATTCTCCACGTGCCTCGGGGAAAGCGCCTCACCCTGACCCACTCTCCACTGGGCTCCGGCACGTCCAATAGAGCCTGTAACCTTCCTAGCCCCTTCCTTCCTGGTAGGCACTAGGAGCTCTCTTTTACAGGTGAGAAGCTGGAGCACAGAGAGGGTAAGCAATTTGCTCAAGGTCACACAGCTGCGAAGTGGCTGGCGTGAGATCCAGACACTCGGACTCCAGCCTTCTCTTCTTGGCGCTGTACCACGCTGCCCTGAGGGGTAGAAAGCCCCCCAAGGCGTCACACTCCTTCAGCACCTTCCAGGGTCTGTCCCCCAAAACTCCCCTTTTGTACCAAGGAGTAACAACAAACATTAGCTTCATTATTTTTTACTGGCATTGGCTCCACAACTCCATTTCCAAATTCCTACCTATATTCTATGGCTTGGGTTCCTTCGATGAACAATTAGGTTGCTTTGTCTAATTTCTAAACAACCGATCAGATGTTTTTTAAGCTTCCTTGGAATTCTGCCTCTCCTGTTCCCCATAAATGCATTGTCACAGTCCCCAGAGGCTCCCTAGTACTTATTGCAAGTGAATGCTACTGCATCTACTACCCTGGCCGGTGAGCTTGTTCCTCCTGCAGAATTAGCTAGGATTACGGAAGAGAGGGGCAGGGAAGGGAAATGCCATTTACTGAGTGCCTGTTAATACGTGACAGACACCATGCCCAGCCGGGCAGGCATTGGACTCTTATCCCCACCTCACCAAGAGGCCATCACCGCCTCATCTCATTTAACCCCCTCCTGTGACCCAGGGTGTCCTTGGCCTTATCCCTACATAGAGGTGAGAAAAGTGCAGTTCTGACAGGTTTGGTGACTTTTCCCAGGTTGCCACGCTGAGACCAAAGTCACATCTTTTTGACTCCTGGACTTTCTGTCCACATTCCAACCTGTGGAAGCTTCGCTGGCCGGGCCTGGCTTCCAGGACCGGTGGCTCAGAGGCCTCGGTCTCAAGGGCTGGGACTGGCCCTTCCGGAGGTGGCCCATCTGCCGAAACTCCAGGACTGAGGCCTGACAGCTGTACACCAGCCCTCAGGGGGGACGTTCTGGAATTCTGAATAGTTTAGGGTTCCCGAAGAGTAAAGGAAGAGGGGGGAAGGTCATAGGTGAGCGAGAGCTCAGTCATGAGCCGTCTGGAATTCCATCTTGTTGTAAATATACTTAACTGAGGGAGAAAAGCTATCTGTGCACGAATTCCCAAATCTCAATTACATTTCTAAATAATTAGTCCCTTGCAAACACCATAGGAAAAGTCCTCCAAGTATGAAGTGGGAAATACCATTATATCCTTTAAAATACACACAAATGAATATAGTGCCGTCTCTCAGTAAGCTAACTATGTGTTTGTGCATCTTTTTTTCATACAAAAAGGGAGCACAGTCTACAAGATGTTTTCTCCTGAGACAGGGAGGGTAGAAATTAAAATTGTACTTGAAATACTTCTAGAGCGTTTAAAATTCTCCATCAAACAGGTGTTACTTTTGCAATTTTCTATTTGAAAAAGAAATACACTAATGCGATGTTAGGAAACCTTGTTAGTGTTTCTATGTAAGTCTTCCTGGTTTTTCCTTCCATCTTAGGAGAGCCAGTTCAGATAGCCCTGACTCTGGACATTGCAAGTATTTCTAGCATTTCAGAGAGTAACATGGTAAGTGAGGCCCCTCCGTCTGCCACCTGATGGGTCCCTCTCCTTGTGTTTAACGGCGATACATTAGAAACAGGACAGACTTCCAGCCCTCCTGCCCTTGGAATGGCAGAAGGTGGGGACCTATCCCAAAACTCAAGGCATTAGAAGATTCTTTTAAAATAGACCCAAGCAGTATCAGGAAGAAAATGGATTCGAAGGCCAGGAGGGGAGAAAGGAGGGGGTGGAGTTTAGTGAGGGATAAAAATTGGGGAAAAGAATGAATATGTCACGGGGAAGCCTGAATAGCACATGGATCCTCACCGAGCCCGAGACAAGCCGATGAAAACCGGCAATCACATAACTGCTTTCAACCACGCTGCACTTAAGGAAACACCTTATAGACAAATTGACACCGTAGGCCTTGGGAGGCCCCACTGTGCATTCAGGGTAGACCTAAGCACTTAACTCTCGAAAACCTTCAGCCGTCTTATGGGGCTTTTGTGATCGAGGGCAAGTAAGCTAAGGTACTGGACATGCCCCTGTGGCTTCCCTTCTGCCGGTGGGAGTCATCATCTAGAATAAATACGGTGCTTTGTTCACACACGGCTACAGGCCACCGCCCTGCAGACAAGCTTTATTCACCAGTGTCTACGGCAGGAGACCTATGCACTTGACCTACATGGGGGTGGGGAGGCAAGTAAGACAACCCCTTCCGATTTCGGAATCTTTCTCTCGCCTTCCATTTCTACCCCGGCCGCCCATCAGGACTACACAGCCACCATCTATCTCAGACAGCGCTGGACGGACCAGCGGCTGGTGTTCGAAGGCAACAAGAGCGTCACTCTGGACGCGCGCCTCGTGGAGTTCCTCTGGGTGCCGGACACTTACATTGTGGAGTCCAAGACGTCCTTCCTCCACGAGGTCACTGTGGGAAACAGGCTCATCCGCCTCTTCTCCAATGGCACTGTCCTGTACGCCCTCAGGTAGGTGGGCACCTGTGCCGTCAGCGTGGGAGGGCAAACAGGCGGACAAAGAGGTGTAGATTCATCTTGAGTAGTTCTGACGAGCACTCCCAACACCGGGCTGAGGGCCCCCTTCTCACGCTCCCATTTGGGGTGATGTGAGGGACGCTCTCACGGGACTCTGAGCCGAGTTCTAAAGAGCAAAGGACGTTAGCAAGGGAAGGAGGTGGGGGGACAGCAAGAGCCAACAGAAACGTCCATAGTGGGACCTTAACTTTCATGGGGCTCATGGGGCTGGCATAGCCCCAGAATGCACCTCTCCCCGTCCCAGTCATTTCTGTACAGAGTCAAGGTACGGGGCCCCAAGGCCTCTGCCACCTGCAGCCATGGGTTTCCTTTCGCCCCTTCCCCAAGTCCCTGGGCCAGAAGGTCTTCCCAACCAATTGTTCATTGGGGGGAACCGCAAAGGTGCTCTGCAGAGCTGCACAAGGCACCCACGGGGGAAGCAGCGGTGGGTGGGAGGAACTCACTGCTGCCTGTGCAAACCGAGTGCTCCCAGAGGCCTGGGGAGAAGGCCAGGAAGTGCACACTCAAGAGGCTAATCTTTAACCCCAAATAAGAGGCTGAAGCTGTAAAACAAAGACCGAGGTAACCTATAAAGTGAATTTCTGGATTATTCTTCTGATCCTCCTTGGTGCACTGAATTTTGCAAAGACCAGCCAAAACCCCAACTCCTCTTTCTTTCTCTTTCTTTCTTTCTATCTTTCTTTCTTTCTTTCTTTCTTTCTTTCTTTCTTTCTTTCTTTCTTTCTTTCTTTTATTTTTTTTTTAAGATTTTGTTTATTTATTTTTAGAGAGAGGGGAAGGGAGGGAGAAAGAGGGAAAAAAACATCAATGTGTGGTTGCCTCTCATGTGTCCCCTCCTGGAGACCTGGCCTGCAACCCAGGCATGTGCCCTGCTCTGGGAATTGAACCAGTGACCCTTTGGTTCACAGGCTGGCACTCAACCCCCTGAGCCACACCAGCCAGGACCCAAGTCCTCTTTCAAGAAGCCTAATAAGAACCCTCCTGTGACCCCAATTCAAACCAAAATTAATGCCCCCTTTCCCCATATTCCCACAGATGCATGTGTGCGCATGCCTGTCCATATCATGGCACATAACACGTCTGCTGTGTACACGGGATACAAATAATGGATGATGGATGAATGCCTGGCTCTAGAGTCAGACAGATTTGAGGGCAAATCCCTGCTCTCTCCCTTTTCTGCATAAAGCAAGTTACTTAACTCTCTGAGCCTCAGTCTCCTCAGCAGCAGCAGGAGAATAATAATAGTTCCAACCTCATAAAGCCATTATAGAAACTCAAAGAGATGAAGCTGTGAGCCCAGGGACTGGCTCGTGGTCAGTCAGTCGCAGCCGTTGTTACTCCCTCTCCCTTAAAGAAGTGGGCACCATGCCCTCATCATTTCCATTTTCCCAAGTGCCCAGCTCTGTGCTTAATAACAACACGTGACCCTGAAGAAAAAGGAAGGTCAAGGTCTGCCCATTGAAATCTCCACTGTGAAGGCTTAGTTGATATGTCATTGAACGTCTCTGGAAGTTGGTCCCTCAGAGCCACGGTGCCTGGTGCCCTGTGATGCCCTCCGCTTCCTCTGCCTGCTGACCCCCCCGCCCCAGGAGGCAGGGACCTGGGGAACTGCCCGGGCTCCAGCCCCAGCTCTGCCGCCCGAGAGCCGGGTGAGCCTAAGGGAGCCCCTGTGTCTGCTGTCAATGGTGAGAAGTAGTGACAGTGATCTCTGTTCTGGCTTCTCACGGTTTGTCATGAAGGTGAAATTTAATAACTGGATGCAAAAGCCTCTCAGACAAGCCGATGAGTGATTCGCTTCTGCAATACTGTTGGCAGTTTGCCTCTGAACTGCCGACATTCGAACTTCTCTGTTCTGGACCCCGGATTTAACCGAGTGGCACAGGTGTTGCTTAGCACAGAAAACCTCAGGAATGCTTTGAAGGCAGGTTCCAAGTCACACATTCACTGTAGCACGCAAGGTGAAAGTCTTCTTGGAGTGGCCCTTAAAGGGAAATGCGTACTTTCTACAGCATCCTCATAACACTCTCTTGAACCCGTTTTTCCTTTCTCAGAATCACAACGACTGTCGCGTGCAACATGGACCTGTCTAAGTATCCCATGGACACGCAGACATGCCAGTTGCAACTGGAGAGCTGTGAGTATATATCCTGCAGGCCCCTGAGCTGATTTTCCCAAGTGACTTAGAGCTGTGTATTCACAAAGAGTGTGCTATACGTAGCGGCCGTTCTTGTCTTGACATTGATTACACCGGCTTTGGCCCTTCTGACTGCACATGCGGAGGGATTTAGAGACTGCTCCAGGACAAACCTTCCTAAATGACATCTTTTGGGGGCAACCACTGTGCCTTGTAATCAAACATTTCAACCTAAGAGTGGACAAGTCAGCCAAGGAAATGGGGGGGTCGCTGGGGCTAGGAATGGGACCCAGAATCTGCCAAGGCGAGGAAGCCAGAAAGGACACAGCAGAGCTTAGAAACAGCAAATACACAAAGCAACGCTGGACATTCATCGCACAGCTGCTTTCGACTTCTGAAAGAAACTGTATGATATATATAAAGCTTAGCACAGTCACGCCGGCACGCGGGCATCTGAACTGTGGTCTGGGGAGCTGCTGGCGATAAGAATGAGCGTTTACTCCAGGCCGATGTGTGGCAAATGGCACTGTTGAGTAATCGCCATCGCTCCCTAGTAAACTACTTGGAAGTGCCCACCAACCTCGGGAAAGCGGTAACCGTGACCGTTGTCCCGGGAAGACAGCCACAGATAGGAGTTGCTGAGGAATCAAGGCATGTCTTGTGCACGGAGGAAAAGCTCCAGCCAAGCGGCTGGACCCCAGTGGGCAGTTGGGCACACGAGTGGCCAACGCGTAGGAACAGAACCATTATAAGGCAACAGTCGTTTTTCAGAGGCAGGCATTTAATTAAAGATTCAGACAGGCAGATTAATTACCTTATTGATTAAATGCATGCATAACCTTCTGGAAGCAATACAGCTGTTTGGGGGCAGAATAAAGCTTGAGGTTATCAACACGAGAACTCACTTTCAGCCCTACATGGCAAAAGCAATTGCCCTGCCTGTGTGGCTGTTCTCATCCCGAATCCCAGGAGCGAGATTCTCCTGGAAACTCCAGCACTCTGTCTGCACGGAGACCGTCCCCGGCGAGCAGCGGAGGCTTTCGCCGAATGTTTATTAGCAGTTATTTGGGTACAGAAACCTCTCCAAGGGTTTTGTCCTGAGCGCCTAGAAAAGAATGGATACCATCCCACAAAGCAAACTGTCCAAGGAGGGGCTAGGATGACTCGCTTTTTTAGATTTTTAAAAAAATTCCTTTGGGATCCTAGGCCTATTGGGACAGCTACCTTCAGGAAATTCGGCAGTGCTTCTAAGGGAAAGCCCACGGGTGGTTTTTACCCGGAAACGCTCTAAGAGCTCATGAGTACTTCTCCGTTCTTGGATGGGGATCACTGCTTCTCGACAGTGGATGCCGAAGCTGAGACGCCACAAAAGGCTAGTCCCGGCTCTGGCGTCCCATTGCCCATGGCCTGGGGAAACACAGGCGGTGTGGGTCCACTTTTCAGATCGCAGGTGCCGGAATCGGGGGGCTTTCCCCATCACGGGCTGTGTGACTTCAGGTGGGCAGAACTGGCATCTGGGGACCTCAGTTTCCTCATGAGTAAGGTGGGAAAAATGATAGTATCTGATTCAAGGAGTAATTTTTTAACAGCTCTATTGGGATAAATTTACGTGCCAGAGAGTCACCCATTTTAAATGTACAATTCAAAGATTTTTAGTAAGTTTGCCAAAATGGGCGGCCACTGACACATTTTACTGTGAGGACATTTCCGTCACCCACAGGGACCCCTTGTGCCCACGTATGGTCACTCCCATGGCCACCACCAGCCCTTAGTCAACCGTTAGTCTACTTTCTGTCTCTGCGAGTTTGCCTTTTTGGGATATTATACATAAATAGGATCAATACAATATGCGGTCTTTTGCATCTGGCTCCCTTTGCTTAGCATGTCTCTGAGGTCCATACATGTTGGCACACGTAACAGTACTTCGTTCCTCCTTACTGCTTTATTCCTCATTATTCCTTACAAAAGAATATACACAGCACACAGCCTCTGGCTTGTTCCCACCTTTACCTATAGTGAGTAATGCTGCCGTGCACAAAGCTATTGGTGGACGGGATTTGGTTTCTCTTGGGCAGATACTTAGGAGTAAATGCTGGGTCAAATGGTAAATTATATATATACATATATATCTACCACATTATAGGTATATATCTCTCAAGTATAAGACCCATTCCAATTTCAGAAAACGGAGAAAGTCAGCAGAGGACATAAAATCAACGATGTTGTAATAACTACCTAGAGTGCCAAGCAAGTACTAGACCCGTCGGGGGGAGCGCTTCGTAAGCTGTATCTAACCCCTATGCTGTACCCCTGAAAGTAATACAGCACTAAATGTCAACTAAATGTAATTGAAATATTTTTAAATTTTAATGCAAGGAAATGAAGAAAAATAGAAATGTCTCCCTGGCAAGTTTGTGAAGACGTTAGCGACACCCGTATAAAGGACTTAGCATAAGTGTTTGCCAAAAGGCAGCTCTAACTACTATTGTCAACTCTGTTAGGAGAACTGCTTTGAGATTTATCAAACGCCCAGGTTTATAGACATCAGTGAAGTGGCTGGGTGCAGGGTTTTTGTTTTTTGCCTTTTTTGCCCACGTGGCAATGTGAACAGACCGACTGTGAAGTCCCCGCGAACACCGTCGGAGACGTCAGGCTGTCCTGGGAGGCGCTATGTAGCATAGATTTTTTGTGTTCACATCTATGGGTTCAACAAATATTTAAACAGCGAGAGAGACCACTCCTGGAGGCTTATCACCTACCCGGTGTCTACTCTGCGCTGAACCGGTTCTCAGTTGAAGGCACATAGCCCCTCGCAGGTCACCTCATTCTGAGTGGCTGCCGCAGTCACACTGGAGAAATCGTGCCAAGTTTTACGTGGAATCAGCCTTGGACTTAGCAAGATAGCGCCCCTGCTGTTTCCCTAGCGTGGCATTCATTGCCCAGACCGGTTCAATGTGCCACCCCCTCGCACTGACCAGGGCTCTGTCTCCTGGGCCAGGGGGCTACGACGGAAACGACGTGGAGTTCAGCTGGCTGCGCGGGAACGACTCCGTGCGTGGGCTGGAAAACCTGCGGCTGGCTCAGTACACCATACAGCGCTATTTCACCTTGGTCACCAGAACGCAGCAGGAGACCGGTAACTGGTGGGGCGGACTGTACAACCGCAGAAGAGCCGAGTCAGAAATACCATTTCATCTCCGCTCTCTCCCTTTGGGGCCCGGAGACCCCTCTGCAGTGGGGCGGGTGGTAGGGTTTGGGACTGGCACCTTTACCTGCTCCACATCCAGTAGTGCCATGGCGGCCAAGGGGCTCAGAGTCTGGTGAGGCAGATGACAAGGACACCAGCAGTTACGATGCAGCAGGTATAATATGACAGACAGGCACGGGAAGAGGATCATGGGCGGGGGTCATCAGCACCCCTATAAGTCCCACTCTACACACCAGCATTTTCTTATTGAAAACTATAATGTCAGTTCATGATTAACTCGGTTTTGGGGAATAACAGACAGCTTAATGCGAATATATGTAGCTGCATTAAACGCCCCACAGGGAAACCGCTCTGTGGTGGGAGCAGGCGTGATTTCCTACCTCTTGTTTACTCTCTCAGGAAATTATACGCGATTGGTCTTGCAATTCGAGCTTCGGAGGAATGTCCTGTATTTCATTCTGGAAACCTATGTTCCTTCCACTTTCCTGGTGGTGCTGTCCTGGGTTTCGTTTTGGATCTCCCTCGATTCAGTTCCTGCAAGAACCTGCATCGGTGAGCAGCTCCAGTCTAAGAACTTGGTTCTTAGGTCCTCTCTCCTCTCTTCCCCCGGCCTTGTTCTTCTCCCAGTGTTTTTATTGTTATTCACGGAGCAGTGCTAGGAGTTGGTTTCTTGAGAGATTCTTTCACAGAGAGAAAGAAAAAGAGAGACAGACTACTCTAGCAGTAGTGCATTTTTAAACTTATGTTTTACAGTGACAGGTGAGGGAATATTGTGATTAGATGGTCTATTGTCGGGTATTTTGCATACTGAACGCCCCCCTCCAATGAGAACACAGGAGGTGAAACCTTTAGGAAACCCTATCACTCAAATTTGTACAAAATGGACCAATCACCCCTGTTCTAGAAGGCCGTAGATTTTTCACAATGAGCTAAGTTCCATTTCCGAGTCCTGTCCCCGCCTTGCCACGTCCTGAGTCTGCCAGGTAACGGCGGAAGGTCCGCTAGGGCCTGGCATGGGGACGCTGCCCGCCTGTTTCCCCAGGAGTGACCACCGTGCTGTCAATGACCACGCTGATGATCGGGTCCCGCACTTCTCTCCCCAACACCAACTGCTTCATAAAGGCCATCGACGTGTACCTGGGGATCTGCTTCAGCTTCGTGTTCGGGGCCCTGCTGGAGTACGCGGTGGCCCACTACAGCTCCTTGCAGCAGATGGCAGCCAAAGACAGGGTAAGGGGTGGCGGGCCCTGTACGCGGCCCATCGCTTGGGCCCTGTGCTGGCTGGCAGAGGTGGCCGAGACCTGGTCCCTGCCCCCCAGGGATTCCCTTCGCTCCCGGGATTCTCATCTTTGTTCCGGTAGGAGCTTCTGGAAGTCAGAAGCTGCCTCTTGAAAAAGACCGTCCTTTTCACCAAGTCTTGTGAGATATTAATACATTTAATTTTCCAGCAGAAAATAACTACATTATCTGTATGCAGTGCAAAATCACAACTATGAGAACAAGCATCCACAAAAACCCCAATATTAAATGAAATGTGATTAGCTGATTACAAGTTTCAGATTAATACATATTTACATTTAATTTTTTTTGCAATATTATTTTCCCAAATTATACAAATAATAGTTTATTGGAAAAGGTATGAAAAAAAATCATGTTGTGGTAAATTTCTGGATTAGCATAAATTTCTGCTAATTGGAAGTGTGGTTCTACTCTCAGAATAATAATAATGGCTGTTACGTATCGAGCACGTGGATTTAGCATGTAGCACACAGCTCTGCAGAGCGGGCGGGGGTTATTCTTTCCCATTATACAGGCCTATGACCAGGGATCGGTGCCTATGAGCACAGTAGCAAGACTGCCAAGCCTGGCTCACCAACTGATTTCTGATGTTCTCCATGCCATTCTCTATTAAACCTAGTTATGCAATATTTAGGCCTCCAAGTATATAAATACCCACGTATTTATTTTGCCGAGTCAACTCCTGCAACTAATTGCATTGTCTATGAACTAGGAGATGCCAAAGGAAGTGGAAGAAGTCAATATCACTAACATCATCAACAGCTCCATCTCCAGCTTTAAACGGAAGATCAGCTTTGCCACCATTGAAATTTCGGGCGATAACGTCGACTACAGCAACTTGACCATGAAAACCACTGACAAGTTCAAGCTGGTCTTCCGAGATAAAATGGGAAGGATTGTTGATTATTTCACAATTCAAAACCCCAGTAATGTTGATCGGTATTCCAAACTACTATTCCCTTTGATTTTTATGCTAGCCAATGTCTTTTACTGGGCATACTACATGTATTTTTAAGAGTACGTTGAATAATTTGCATGCTGTAGGACTTCAGCAGGACAAGATAATGAAGCAAATTGTATTCAGCCCAAGTATGTACCCTCACCCAATGGTGCTGCAAGTTAACAAACATAACAATTCAACAATTCTTCCCAAAGAATGGACTCCCAACCATTATTTAAGCTTGTAGAAGTCCTAAGCATTACAAAGTCTGGTCATAGAAACGTCAATCCATTTTATCTTTACAAAAGACATACACGTGGAGCCCAAGGTTACAGACCTACCGAGGATGGGCTGATTGCTCAGCAGCTGCCTGGTCTGCATACATTACCTCATTTTTTAAAAACTGAGAAGGTGGCCATTGCAGGTATCAAGTAACCCTCAAGTGGCAGGGGTTGTTTCTGAACTAATCATACATGCTATTTATTAAATCTCTGCAGTGCTTATAACACACACATTGGTCCTATTTAGGGAGCAACACTTTCTAGTTTTTGTTTTTGATTAAAATGAAATGTAGGCCTAAGTCAATTGACTGGAAGTCACTGGATTAACTCAATACCAAGATGAGTTTTTAATATAGGATTTAATACCACAACAGAATTGTCCCCAAATTCCCATAAGTCTTACCATTGAAAAATCAAATGTAAGTGATGAAAAATTTAGTGGGTCAGTAATCTCACACATAAACCCCTTGTTTCTAAGATGTATGATGGCCTGACCGGCAGCATTGAGTCCATTTCTATCTGCTGCTCTTTCCCAGCTGCAGACCCCTCGCATCCTTCCAAGAAGAGCTTTGATCCCCACGTTCTAATGACCAGGAATGATGTTTACTGGCTAGTGAGTGGCATTCCTCAGGAACACGTGGCGTAGCTCTAGTAAGCTTGGCTGTGTCCAGCTCCCCGATCCTTGTAGCTGAACTGCTTTGAGTGGTTTGGCCCTGTGTCCTGAACTTTCTGAGTGACAATGAGACTTGTTATAGAACCTATGTTCAGGCTGCAGGTGAGCCAGCCACTCTCACCCTAAAATCAGAAGAACAAGTGCGCACACCTCCTTGCTCCTCAGCCACACTCACCCAACAGCATCCTAAGCGGCCATTTGTGTGTGCGCCATGATACAGGTTTCTGGCTCAGTCTCAGGCATTTTAAATCTTGCGATCTTTAATTCTTTAGCTTTCTTCCCTAATAGATATATGCCTTTACCCTTCCTTTCAGAATTAATCCACAGCTTTGAAAGATCATCTTTCTTCTATACTCCCCTGCACCAAAGACTCTCATTCTCTTTCCCATTATGATACTTCTCACACTTTAGGTTTCTGTGGGTGTGATCACCTCTGAGCTTTTAACAAACTGTTTCTAATAGGAAGGGGGTTGCTAACAGAGGTGGAATGTAGTCGTACGGTTCAATTATATTTGTGATTTTTAAAGAAAGGTTTGAAAGGAAATATCTTTTCTGAAACCCCATGTAAGCACTATATGAAGCAAACTGTAAATATGTGAAACTGTGAAATAAATACACCATATTAGCTACCCACCAAATCAAGTGGTCATCTATAGAAGGAGTATTGTAAGATCCCATTTGGAAAAGGTATACACCATAGAACACAGGCAGTGGGCTCACGCTCCTCTACCATCGTACCCCCCAACCCCAGACAGTACACACACACACGTTTTGAGCCAGTGTCTCATGATCCCTGAGGACATCTGCACCTATAAGCCAGTTATCTCTTCTTCTCTAAGCCCTGACTAGAGCCAGGACCTGAATGGCCTTGGAAGGCCAGGTCATCCATACCCCACATGCATGGCCTGCTTCCTGTTTAAGTCAAGGCATGAATTATATGAAAATCCTCAAGGAATAGGTTTTCAGACTTTATCACCTGAATCTCCATTTTCATCTGGAGAGTCAACCAGTACAGAAACTTGGTTAATATACTGTGTAGGAAAACATAATAAGCCTGAGACTCCTATCCTTAAAAATTCTGTTAGCAAGATGCGTTAGGCGGCATCTGAGAGTTTGGATTTGGGGAGAATTCCCATTATCCTCTACTTGATAAGAATGGCTCATGGTGCCTGAACTGTACAAACTATGTGGCTTATGCTGAACGCCTGCTTCCAAGAAGGAACAGGGCAGGTTCTGTTTCCAATAAAGCCACAGCCTGACAAAAAGTCAGGCAATGGTAAACGTGCGTTTGAACAGTTAGGCAGGAATACAGAGAAGCAGCGGTCTCCCAGTTTTTGAGACATTAAACCTTAACAGCCATGCAAATGAACTAAAAACCCTCACAGGAAAACAAAAAGTTAGACGACATGCAGCCAAAGACTTTGGCTTCTGCCAAAGGCGGGGAGGTGGAAGCCAATGGGCTTGAATGATACATCCTAGTTGCCTCTCAAGGAGGTTAAGAATATGACCCCAAAGGTTCATTAAGAACTCACAGTGACAAAGGAGAGGACTCCACTAAGAGGTATGAGATCATCAAAGTTGTGACGTAAACGGGCATCTCCGAAGCTCAAATTCCTTCCTTATTATCAGGGTTCCATTTAGTCTGGCCCGCCAACTAATTCTCCATCAGTACCAAAGGCAGAAGCCTTTGAATTGCATCATGTTTATTATTTCATGGATTAAGACAATCATGCCATTTCTAAATTTTTGAATGTCTTGAAGCTGGCTTTTTAGCTTGACTACTTTTATGGACACGTTTAACAAACAAAAGAATGTGGCGTGATGATGAATAAAGTTGACTTTGAAGAGATTTCTTTTTAGGAGAAGTAGGAAAATATGTCCCTGATGGATTTTGCTTTTCAATAACAAGTTATTGAACCAACTCACCAAAATATAGCTTCAAGAATCAAAAAGCCTTCATTCATAAATCAAATTGTATCTGTGGATCAAAACAAAGGAAATGGGAGCGGATGACAATGGAAAGTGATAACCACAAATATCAGCAATAAGAGTTACCCTCAGATGCCGTGGCATTTAAACCACAGACCTTAGAATGGAATAATAAAGTGAATTTTCAGAATGTAGAGGAATCCCAGGAGGAATTATCCATTTAAAAGCATATGAGGTGTACTCTTTCTGGGTTTGTGTATTTCTGAAATCCTAACAAAACATTCTAATCCATTTCACAGAGGGATTCAAAGGTAAGTTCCCAGGAAGGGAAATAGAACTTTATTTTACCTATTTCTGTAATAATTTAATATAACTTACCTAGCTGTCTTTTCCCACAAAGGGTTTAATTGCGTATCCTTTCGCACATGTCCCAAAAGACTAATCCAGTTGAGTTTAGTCTACAAGCCCAGGAATGAGAGTCAAGAGATCCGGGCTCTGCCATTAACTTAATCTCTATTTGCCTGTTACTAATAAGTTAAGTGGAACAAAAATATTTGCCCTTCCTACCTCACCAGTGTGTGACAGAGTTAAAAGTGAAACTATAAATGTGAAAGTATTTGGAAAGGTAAACAGAAGCAGGTCATCATTAATTTGGTACATGATTATGCACATATTACATCCCCTAAAAAATGAGAATGAGGATGAAGTCCAACCAGCTTGTATGACATCTTAGTACATGAGGAACACAGCATCCCAGGATGCATCCGAGATCAAACACAGGGCACAACCAGGACCAGAGGCCACGTCTCTTAAGTCAGCGTTCTTTCTGCAGATTCCATTACGTCCTGAAACAACCCTGCTCTGCCTTGCAAAAGCAGCACTGCAAGATGACAGCTCTGCAGGCCAGCAAAAGCCACACCCCACCAGGATGTAATGGCATTACCTGTGGCCCAAGCCTTGAAGATCTCTCAGTCTGCCAGGAGTCTGATACCCCCAGAAATTTAAGGCAGAGGCATCGCTGGCATCTTTGCTACCAAATCAGATCATTCTTCCCCAGAACGAACTTCAATGTCATCTTTTAGCATACAGGATCCATTCTTTTACCAGTTCCTTCTAAAAGCTCTTGCAAGAGGAGCTCACAAAAGCTGGCATCCTGACCCCCAAATGGATCTCTGTCCTTGCTAGCAGCCCCTGGTACACAGTAAGAAGAAAATCCTATCTCACTTCCGCGAAGGTGAAAGACCTCAGACCATGAATCCTCTCGGCACTACGCAGGTAAATTGTTTTAAAAATGCATTTGTATGTATAAGCAAGGCCTTCCATTGCAACGAATCTTCTGCATTTTTAAAGGCAAGTTGTACATTCTGACACTATAAATGGTAGTAAAGGTATTTCAAATTATCTCCCCTTCACTTGCTGTATTAACTGAGAGTAGACATTAAGGGCAATCAAGTTATATCTTTATCAGAAAAGCTTCCAGTGCTTTCATGAGCGCTGTGCTATCATAGCGCTGTTGTCTGCTCCAAGTTTTATAGCGTTTTCCAAATAGAACAGAGGCATAAAATAACTTGTATTCCGTCTGCTGGTGGAAAATATTAAGCATCATCACCACAATGCACTCCATCTGTGGTGTTCTCAGTTTGCTTCTTCCCAGATATTTTATAGAGACTTGATGTTATGAGTCACGTGAAAGGACAGGAGTTCATGGCGTTTAAAGGCTAATCAATCGCTATAGTTTGTTAAGTGCCAGTCTTATACCAAACCTCTAACCTACCCTGTCTCTCATCTGACAACAATCCTATAAGGTAGATGTCGTTAACCCATTTTGCAGAGAAGAAAAACAATGATTCAGTGAGACTGCCTGGCTCAGGTTATACAGTTAGTAAGTGGCAGAGCTGAGGATTGAACCCAGACCTTTTTGGTCTCAAGACCCATTCTGCCCCCCTCTTTTTATTGAATTTATTGGGGTGACATTGGTTAATAAAAACCTTATAGGTTTCCAGTGTCCAACCCAACAAAGCAGCATCTGCACACGGCATCACGCGCTCACCATCCAAGTCTAGTCTCTTTCCGTCCCCGTTTATCCCCACTCTGCCCCCCCCAACTGCCTTTCCCTCTGACTGTCACCATACTGTTGTCTATGTGTCATAAATATATTTATTTTGCTCAATCCCTTCACCTTTTTTCACCCAGCTCCCCAGCGCTCCTCTCCTCTGATAGCTGTCAGTGCGTTCTATGTATCATCCATGCTTCTGTGTCTATTCTGTTAGTTTATTTTGTTCATTATATTCCACATGTAAGTGAGATTATACGATATTTGTCTTTCTCTGACTGGCTTACTTCACTTAGCATAATAGTCACTGGTTCCATCCATGCTGTCGCAAAAGGTAAGATTTCCTCCTTCTTATGGCCATCTAGTATTCCGTTGTATAAATATAACACAGCATTTTTTTATCCATTCATCTACTGATGGGCACTTGGTTGGGTGGTTTCTAGATCTTGGCTGTTGTAAATAGTGCTGCAGTCAACATGGGGTGCATTTAGTCTTTTGAATTTGTGTTTGGGATTTCTTTGGATATATTTTCAGAAGTAGGATCATTGGGTCAAAAGGTAGTTCCATTTTTAATTGTTTGATGAAACTCTGTACTGTTTTCCACACTGGCTGCACCGTTCTGCATTCCCACCGACAGTGCACGAAGGTTCCCTTTTCTCCACATCCTCGCCAGCACTTGGCGTTTGTTGATTTATTGATGATGGCCATTCCGACAGGTATGAGGTGATAGTTCATTGTGGTTTTAATTTGCATCCGTCTGCTGATTAGTGACGTTGAGCATCTTTTCGTATGTCTATTGGCCACCGGTATATCCTATTTGGAGAAGTGTCTATTCAGGTCCTTTTCCCATTTTTAATTGGGTTTTTTGCCTTCTTGTGTTGAGTTGTATTGAACTTATTGGGGTGATGTTTGTTAATAAAATTATATAGGTTTCAGGTGTACAGTTCATAATACAGCTGTCCCCAACCTTTGTGGCACCAGGGGCTGCTTTAGTGGAAGCCAGTTCTCCCACGGACAGGGCAGAGGGGAGGGGAGAGCTCAGGCCATAATACGAGTGAAGCTTTGCTCCCTGGACCATGGCTCACCGCCTGCTACGTGGCCCGGTTCCTAACAGGCCACAGGTCCTGGTCCTGGTCCTGGTACTGGTCCTCTTCAATTTCCTGCATCACAAACACACACACACACACACACACACACACACACACACACACACACATCAAAGCCCTCTGCTAGGTTTTCTACCACCCTTGTTCCTTGCCCAGTTTTTGCCCACCACTTTAGCTTTTATTCTTTCTTCCCCAAGCCCAGAGAGCCCCTGTGACATGGGCCTGCTTGTGCTGTCCAGCGTCCCTTTGACAAGAGCTGCCGCTCTTTCCTGCAGGTTCCTTGCACCCACCCTTAAAGCGCCTCTGTAGCTCCCTCCCGCCCACCTTCTCCAGACCCCGTAACATCCTCAGCTGCCCAGAACCTCCCATAATATTCCAAAGATTTAAAACCCACAGGCTCTGGGAGAAATGCCCAGGTGGTGTCAAAACAAGGAGAGTCTCCTTTCACCACTGGGGACACAGGACACTTAGGACACAGGACAGTTTACAGGCCTGGAGACCGCACAAAGTTAGAGGAGGCCCCACTAGCTAACACAGCAAAGGCCGCTGTCCCGGGACCTGGCCGCGGGGCCTGGCAGGGTGCTTGCTTTTTAATTACCTTGTTATGTGATAAAAGTCACAGGGTGAAAGGAAAGTATGAAAAGTTGCTAGTTTTTATACCTGGCCATCTGATAGCCTATGTGTTTTAGGGACAGATAACTTCCTAATGAGACTTTTTATAATAAAGCTTTCATTGCTTGGAGAAATATTAACTTTTCCAGTTCTCCCGGGTAAATCGCACCGACCTCGCAGTTAAGGTTACAATATCCTAAAGATTTAGCTTCACGGGAATAATGGGTAAGAGCCTTCACATTGCCACGGGCCAAAACTATATTATTTGAAATGAAACCTCTCATAAATATCCAACTACGAAGTCACTATCTATCAACTGCTGTTATATAAACAGGACAGAGCTAAATCTCCCATCTGCCAATATCAGAGCTGCCACAGAGAATGATTTTGTGTCCAGAGCTCACAAATTAAACGGGCTTTTGCTCTCTCGTCCAATTCTAGGAAGCCAAGTTGGTTTGGTGTAGGAGGGTCAAAGTAAGGCGGCTTGGCGGGTCTGCTTTCTTCGTGCGTTTCTTTTATGCCAAGGCCTCAGACCTCCTGCAGGCTCGGTCGCTCTCTCCTGGGTCGTATCAAAGATGTGACCTGTTCTTTACAAAGAACGGTGTAGCTCCCAGTGGCTCACTTCCTGTCTCTCCTCTTCCACAACTTCCACCCTATCCCGGTGATCAGTGTCACTAAGAAATAAAGAGGATGGCATCTATAGGCTAGTGACCCAAAGGAAAGTTTCTTTGGTCTTGGGAATTTCAGGCAAATCCCACAGGGAAGATATTTTGGGATATTGGCAACCTTTCTCTTGGGCCCCTAAAATATAACCAGCTTCTCTGTGAAAAAGGAAACTGACCTCACCATCTCCCAGCCTAGAATCCTTAGGGGATTTTTCTTGGCCTTCAGGACAAAGTCCCACCCCCTTAGCCCGACTCCCATGGTCCTCCAGGTTGGCCTCCTGCCCACATTCCTGACTCCACATTGTGTCAATCCCTTTCCCCGGCCCTCTTTTACTCGACTCTGGCCAAAAAAGCTTATCTTTTTAAACCTTTATACCCCTGCTCTGAGCTCCGGGCTGGGCATGTGGTAAACTCAGTAAGTGTTTGCTGAGGGAATGAATGAACTGTTTATTCTGCTTGTGTGGAAGGCATCTTCAATGCAACGTCACTTCTGGAAACTGGAAAGCAGGCTGGAATGGTGTGACCATCCAAGAGCAAGGCTGCCCCCCCCGCCCCCGAGAGAGAATAAAGGAAGCCTCCGCCACAGTTCCCCGGGCAGCAGTCAGGCTTTGGAAAAGCACAAGGTGACAGAGGCCACCCCCGCGGCACAGATCCGTGGGATTTCCCAGTTCTTTCAAATGCACTTAATTGCGCACGCAGAAAAGAATGGTATCATTACTTAATCCAAAACACAATAACAACAATAGATTGCTCATGTAGGCACATAAGTCCCCTGCAGAGAATGTAATGCGTGTGTTGCTTTTACCCACGTATATATTCAAGGCGGTGGGAATGGGGGCCGGCCCCTTCCCATGGCCTGAGAAGAGAGAGCGTGGATGCGAATGGTTGTGGCAACAGGGAGAGGGGGGAAAACAATAGAAAGCCCAAGGGTATAGCTGCAACTCCACTTAAGACTAATGCATGTCTTCCTTTTCGTCCTCGGCAGTAACCCAACGAAGTCGTCTGATGTTGCTGAAAGATTGCTGTCACCCTTGTAGATGCTCATCAGTTATTATTAAGTATCGCACAGTTCGGGTCAAGATATAATATGTCTGAGAAAAACCATGGCACCTCCTTTTAATCTTGCGTAGAAAACAATTAAAGTATATAAAGCACATTATTAAAATATGTAAAATTTATAATTTAATTATAAGATTGCATAGCTTTATGATCTAATAGTTCTGCTGTATTTTGCATATTAGTGAACAATTGCTTTCTTAAAGCACACAGTAGAATCATTTACTTGATGCTGGAGAATAAGTTAATTATGGATTCCCTGTATATGACTAATGGATTTAATAATCACTTTACTGTAGAATTAACTTATACTTCCCTGTGCTTATAGCACTAATGATGATATTCATAAAAGTTATATTTTTTTAAGATGTAAGATTGGCACAAAAAGAGAAACCAATGTACCACTGGGTTTTAGAGCCAGCAGTTCTAAATAGATAGTTCAGAGCCTTCAAGGCCTTCTCCTTGCTCCATAATAAATCATGCACACCCGCTCCGCCCCCACCCTCGCCACCAACCCTGCCTCCATTGGCTTTATTAAGGGAATTTATTTTATTTAAGAGAAGACGAAGTGCTTGCCAGATGCATTTAGTGAAGCCCCTGATTTTTTACCCTCCGTTGTGGGGTACGACAACTGTAGGGCTGTTCGCTCACTTGCACTTCATGGAGCCCCGGCGCACCCCACCCGTGCTGAGGGATGCCCGGTCTCTCTTTTTGCCTTCGGTTTCAGTCCCTGGAAGCCACTCAGTTTTCTCCTTCAACCAAAACAAACACCACCAGTGGAAGGAGTAACAGGAATGTTCTTTTTTTATTTTCTTCCAGGTGGAGCCCCTCACGCTGCCTTTCTCAACGTTTATCCTTTCTTGCCTGCGCCATCATCATCACCATTATTGTCATCACCACCAGCATCATCGTCATCTTCCTCATCATCATCACCACCGTCATCATCACCGTTACCATCATCACCATCACCATCAGCATCCGGGTCCTTCCTCTTCATGGAATTATGCAAGGGAAGGTCTGGATTTTGTTTCTGGCTCTGCCAGTTTACCAGTGAGGATGACCGTGGGGAGGTCATTAAACCTTCCCGGATCTCCTTCCGGAGCTCTGAAATGTGAAAACCGATTGGCTCTGACTCTGAACGTGCTTTCCGCTGACGAGTTCTAAGAGCAGGCAGGGTATTATTGCAGTGCCTCGTACCCAAGTGCACATCACCCCCTCAACCCCCCGCCCTGCCCCGCCCCGCTCCATGAACTACTCTGCTGCTTCTGTTTAAATACTGTGGGAGAGAACAACTATGGCTTACACTTTGTGCCACTGTACAGAACTGTTCACAAAGTTTGTGCTTACTGAATCCCCGTTGATGAACTGATTGAAGAGTATAAATTCATAATTCACTCCCCGAGGACCCGAGGGATTATAATTTCCTTTAGGTCAGACACCTGCAGCTAGAGATGGGGAGGCTTGGATCTCGGTCTCGCTTCCTCAAGCTCCCACCAGGAACTCCCAGAACACTGCCGAGAGGGCAAAGGTCAGAAATGGTGAGGAGAGGCTGCAGGAAACCGGTCTAGCCCCTGGCAGGACTTAGAAGGCCTGAGGGCGCCGTTCCTGCCCTGCTGCTGGGTTCTCTACAAGGAGCCAGGCGCCCTTGCCCTCTTCCTCAGAGCACTAAAGGAGTAAACCAAACTCCTTTATGAAGTACCGAACTGCTTTGACAAGTGAGAAATCCACGAAATGTTGCTTTTGTTGAATTCATAGAATATATAACATTATTAGAGGGAAATTTGTAAGCTGTATTTTCAAGGTTTACGTAAGTCATCCTTGGCTAATTAAAATGTAGCCTGAATGAAATGTTCTGGTCCCTTTTAATACCTTAGCTTTGGGTTTGTTTGTTTGTTTAATGAACTTTCTTTATAAGATATATCCCCTACGTTCTCACTCCCCAGCCACAGTTCAGCCACCCTGTGGCAGTTGCAGTGCTTTGTTCAGAGTCCGATCAGTCATAAAAAGTACTCAGGATACTCCCTAAAATTAATTTTCTCAAAAAAAAAAAATCATGACCCACAAATCCCTTGCCTAAATCTATGCCCTTTTCTCTTCGCCCGCAACTTTTAGCTGTTGGCCAAAAGCAATGCTTCTGAGGCTGCAAAGGGCTTACACAGCACCTGGGAATCCTGTTCCGATGCCCATCCTGACTCAGGTGGGGCTCGGATTCTGCATTTCTAACAAACTCCAGGCGAGGCAGCTGAGCGGCCCGTCCCGGCCACGCTCTGAGTAGCAAGAACTTAGACTTTTCATGACGCGTCCTTGAACGACTTTAATTTTATACATAGAAAACTCATATTGTACTTACACGATTTTTCACGGAAGAAACACATGGTTAAGGTAAGCAATTTCTACCACTCAGAAACAATTTTATTATTCTTTTTCTGTTGAAATAGTAAAACTCACCACCTTTCATCTTTTTCTCCACTTCATCTCCATGTCGACTTGTATTTCCTTCTCTTTTTCAACCTGCTCCACAGACTACAACACACCAGGTGTGATACAAGTAGAACTGCTACTCTGATTTTTAGGTATCATTTGCTTCCCAAATGTCATGTACTGTCTTAAACGTTGTGAGATATTTCATGCCTTACAAAGGGCTCGCGCGCACTATTTCATAAAAAATAGTTCGTGTCTAGAGAACGATAGAATGGAAAGATAGATGGACTTTGGGAAGAGATTCCTTGGGTACCAATCTTGGTTCTGCTAAATATTCAATCTTGGGCAAATCTTTAACCTCTTTGCTTCAATGTCCTCATTTGTCAAAAGGCAGAGGGTATAAATAGCCACATCGTGAGTTGGTTATTTGGGCTAAGGTTGGGGTTGTGAGGTTTTAAAGGGAATCAGCCAAGGCTGAAACACAGAGGACTCTTCACACTCACATTAGGCAGACCCTCTAATCCCACTTGGTTGCTTAGGGATTGCTCAGGGCCCTCGTCCTCTGACAGCTGTCCTTCCCCAGAATGGCCACTGGCATCAGACACTATCTCCTCCTCTCCTATCTCCCCAGACTTTCAAATTCCCTTATAAAATCTGCTACTTCTATGAAGCATACAGCTGGTATTTGACACCTAGGTTTCAAGTGATCAAACAAGACATGATGACAAATCTAAGAAAAATGACACCAGCTCTTTGAAGAAAACCCAGATCAATTCCCTTCTCCCTCCTCTTCCTTGAGCTTCTACCTTTTCCAGCGGCTATCTTAACTCATCTGTCATACTTAGACAGAAATCCATATGCCTTGTTTATATCGCTGTTTCTCAGGCAACAGCCAGGCCACTTAGCAAGAGTCTAAAGCACGCCAATATAGCATTCTGCCCAGGGTGGTAGTTGGCCAAAGGTTGCTGTGCCAGAGAAGGTTAATTATTCTAAGAGGACTTAGTTTGACTACAATTATTGACTGCTATGAAGTAATGGAAAAAGCTGCTATTTATTAAGTACCTTTATCCCCTAGAAGCTTTCACATATGTATCTCATTTTATCCTCATCACAACTTTGCAAAAGGTTTTCCAAATTTAAGGAAATTGTAAGATCACGTTGGGGTAATTCCTGGCCCAAAGTCACAGCTGGTGAGAGGCTGAACCAAGATTGAAACAAGCCGTAAGCGGTTTTCTGAGTATGTTCTGTTAATACTATTACTTTTAATTTAAAGCTTCTTTTGCCAAGGAATATGTGCATATAATGTTAAAGAGTTCCACAGACTTAGGACAAAGTGGCAGCCGTCCCTCGTCCCACCCTTCCCACCTCTAATTCTCGTTCCCCAGAGGAAACCTCTTGTGACTGCTTTTTCTGCTATTTATCTCTATATTTCTTTCATAATATACTTAGATGCTGTTCAAGATTGACTGACAACTACAAAAGGTGGGGATTTAACTCTCAACCACCATGCTCCTCCAATCCTCCTCGTCCCTCCTAATATAATATAACAATTTTTTTTGTTAAATTAGATCAATAGTCAGTGTTTACATTGCTTTGGCCATATCAATATCATTCACAGCTGAACTATTGTAATAGTATACCTTGATCATTTTTCTTTTCTTGTACAACAGCTTTCCCTGGAATTAATGATTGCATTGCCATTCCATTTCTTTAGCATTTCATGTTTCTATTACTAATTCATCCCTAGCTCTCTGCCAGAACCATAAAACTCTCAATATGGGCAAATGCATCAAGTGATGTATTGGTTTTCTGGGTGGGCATGTTTTGTTTTATTTTGTTCCTGACGTTCAGCGTACAAGCCCTAAATTATCAGTCCACATCGATCACTCTCAGCATCTGCTTTGTTCATGTTTTGGGCTCTTGGTAGCTTCTTCCAGGCTCTAGATGCCGATCCTTCAGTTCTGAGAGTTTTCCTGTGCAGTTTCTTCGATAATTTCTCTGTCCTCTCTTTCCATAACTCCCACTAGTTAGGTATTGGATCTCTGGAAAAGACCCTCTATGTCATCATTTCTTGCCTTTCTTTTTTGCTTATATTTTGGGTGATTTCTTCAACTTTTTCTTTCAACTAATGGATTTTTTATTTGTGGCATTTTATTTTTTTATTTCCAATCTCTATGGCTTAGTCTCTGAATATTTCTTAATTATAGCATCCTGCGCTTGTTCCAGGGGTGCAAAATTTTCTTTTCTCTCTCTAAGCACATTAATTGTAATTTTAAAAAAGTTTTATTCTGCTCCCTAAATTAATTTTTTTCCAGGTCGTCTTTTTCCATTGGTTTATTTGGCTCTCCTATCGCCCGTCCGCGGCAGCTCCGTGCGGGGACAGAGCGTGCAACCGGCGAGCTTTTCGAGTGAGTGATGAAAGGGCAATGGGGTGGCGGGTCAGCGTTCACTGGGTGACACCTGAAGTCCTCATCCAGAGGCTCTATCTCCCAGTGAGGCCAGTTTCCCCCTCGCAGGACCCTCCTGATTTCGCCCTGCCAGTGTCCTGGGAGCCCAGACGGAAGACGGGC